CCCGCCGGCTCAAACACGTCGTTCAGGAGCGTCTCTACGGGGTTCAGCGCGGCTTCGTTTGGGGCCGAAGAATGGCTGGCGACGCCTACGACTTTGCAGGATCGCTTGTGCAACGGGGAGTCCTGGACGGTGGAGGAGGAGCAGGAGGTGCCACCTTCGACTTAGGGCTGCCTGGGCTGCCTTAGATAATGATACCTGCGCTGCAAGCACTCGAAGAATAATGTTGTCTATTAAGTGTTTGTTGGTTACGAGGAGTTTTTGAGATTTGTGGCTGCGCGTGGTATTCGTCGAAGGCGTCTTATTTGCAGCGCCCTGTGGGCCTCCGCCATGGGCCCCCTGGTGCGCCCCCCAGGTGACGCGCAACTACGGCCTGCGCGCGCGCCGCCCGCGCTCGCAGACGACCTTTCCACGGCGGCACACAACGTATACGAGGCACCTCCATTGGTCTTCGGTGGAGCCCAGGACATTGGGCTCTCGTCAGGTCCAGCTCTGAATTTCAAGGGGCGCATGGTGATATTGCCGAGGCAACTTACGAGAGCGCGGATTATCCAGGAGTTCCGCGAGCAAGGCTTCGAGATGTTTGATTCCAGGCTGTCTGGCATGGCGACTCCTGGCGCACCCGCCAGTCGCGGGGCCCGAGAGCGCGTTCGGTATCAGGTGGCCAGAAAGACGTGGAGTCGTTCGGGGAAGGTCAAGTGTCTCGGCCATGGGCTCACTCCGCCCATCGCCGCCTTCGCCCGCAATTGCGCCCCGGCCCCTTCCCGCGCCCTCCAGCCCAGCTCTTCCCCATCGCGCAGGAAGGCCTGCGCAACGGACAGGGGCGTCGCTCGCTGTTCACGCGCTGCCCGCGACATTCGTTTCCGCCAGCCGCTCAGAAGCGTTTGGAAGAGCATGGCCGTCAGGCGCAGTGCCAAGACTCGAGGATCGTCTCCATGGCTGAGACGATAACATGTGCACGCGCGGCGGGGGCGCGCGTCAAGAAACCGAATTATTTCTGTCAGGGTGCCCTGAGTTTCTTCGCTCCGCGCGCTGCGCGGACCTTCCAGCGGCTGTCGAAGAAGCCGCTGCGTTCGGGGCTCCGTGGGCCCCCCTAAAGTCGCATCTCCTGCGCAGCTGTTCATGTTGCTTTGTTTTCTGGAGAAAGTTGAAAGCGGCCGCGTCCGCAGTGTATTTCTGACCGTTACGAGCATTTACATCAATGCTTCGTGGAGAGTGATCAGAACAATATGGATTGGAACTGGAGCCCGTGTCTTAAGGGCTCTATGCTATTTTCATACTAAGTTCCTCATGGGGTACCGCTTGGCCCTCGATGAAATTGCCCCTGAACGTACCTAGGCCAAAGTTTACCAGCTCCTGGCCGGGGGACATGAACAGGTATCCTGCAGCATCTTTCATGTTATTGCTCCAAGGTTTCGGAAAATTCTCGGGGCGGTCTCAGCTGAAGAGAACGCGAACTCATTGGCGTGTCTTGCGCAGCTGGAGGAGAAAAAAAAGAAAATGAGAAAAAAGACAAAAAAAACACGCTTGGCCGACAGCACAACAAGCGTCCCCAGGAGTATGTTCAACAAGTGAAACACCATTCGAGTGCACCGACAAACCATTGCCCCGTGCAGATTCGGCTGCGGATGTGAAAATCAAGATTCAATGTTTCACTGCGCGGTCTGTCTTGAAGTTACCCATCACATTCGTCGTTTTCTGAATCGCCTCCCAGAGTCTTGGGGGTCTGAACCATTCGCCATGCTATTCCCTCAGGACTTTTTTCCTGAATATATCCCCATAGTCATCCCCCGTGCTGTAGCCGTCGATGTATTGCATCGCGTTTCTCAGTCCGTTCGAGCGAATGATCTTCCTCGTGCCGTGCATGCGCAATTTTACACGGCCGCCTTCGTGCCTCTTCTCGGCGATCCCGTGGATTTCGTGCTCTCGCCTCGTTTCGCCCTCTTCCCCCCCCCCCCCCCCGCACTCTCTACCCGAAAAATGCATCAAAGCTACTGCGCGGTCTCATCTTCCTCGCGGTGCAGGTGCGAGGGAGCGCTCGGGAGCAGGAGGTTCGCCCTCGTCTTGCATCATTTCCTGCTTGTCCTCTTTTCGTTTTTTTCAGTGTTCACAACTTCTCCTTTTCCCCTCCTTCCTCTTCCACCTTTCTTCCTCATCGTTATCATCACCATCATCATCATTATCAACAACAACATCACCATCATCACCATTACCCTCACCTTCCTCACCATCACCATCATCATCACCCCTCAAGCTCGCGGCTGGCGACTAGTGCCCCCTAGTAGCGCCGTGTCAAGCTCGCGGCTGACGACCGCCAGCAGTTCCGGGAACACGAATTTGAAAAGCGGCTCGGGTACCAGCGGCATGAAGACGCTATGCCGCACGACCACGACGGCTAGCCACCCTAGGGGTGCGATTCCAACTCGTGGCACTGTTCCGACTCTGGCTCCTGTTGGGACTCCAGCGCAACATTGTCACGGTGTCCGCTTGCGTGGGCGTCGCGGTTTCCGCTGGTTCGCTTACGGAGGGTCCTACGAACCCTTCACCGACGCGAACACCGACAAGCGGCTGTTATCATCGTCGCCGCCCCCGCCACAGCACCGAAATTTTTGAAACCAGTTCCTTAGACAAGCCCCGCGAACGTGGCCGAAGGACGGCGGTCGGGCGCACAACAAAGTGACACCAGGTCCGACCCCCTAACCAAGTTTCCGACCCCTGCTCCGACTCCAGAGCCAGATTAGAGCCGTCCCTAATTCCATATCCGACTCTTGCTCAGTCCCCGGCTCCTGTCCCACTTCAGTTCCGATTCCTGGCCTGCGCTGCAAGTCCAACGCCTATGCAGGTGACCGCTTAGATCGCCACGACAGGCGCCCAGCGCCTTTCCGGCATCCACACGAGCAGAACATGACGGAGACGAGCAGGGCGACGCTCAGAGTGGCACATGTGGCGCGGCTTCCCCCTTCCACGATGCCAGGGTTGAGAATTGCGTCGGTAGCCGGCGCTGTTGAAAAGCACTTGCAGCGGCTCCGACCGTCAGACCCCAGCCCTTCGTCCATGCTCGACGCCGACTCCAGCTCCGACGCCTGCGTGGTGATATTTACCCAGCCAGCGGCGGCGACGTCGACCCCGCCGACTTGGCGCATCATCGTGTGTCGCTCATGACGGCCAAGCCGGAGTTCTGCCGCGGACAAAAACTTTCCACCGCATCAGTGTTGAGCACCACGTCGGCTCCGACCTTTGCTCCTGGTTCGATTTCGATTCCATCTCCAGCTCCAACACCGATGTGGCGACATTTACCTGGCCGGCAGCGGGAACGACTACATGACCGACCTGGTTGAGCGAAAACATTTGATGATTGTTTTCGTTCGACTTCTGCTGCTCAATTGGCCCACCGCCGCCGACACAACAAGCAAACCCAGCCCCGACCGGCACGCCGACTCCGACGTTGGAGCGTCCTGCGAGCGAGGCTGGAATGGTCGGCAATTGCTCTGGAGTCGGCACCAACGGCACGACCTCGCTGAGCAGCACGAGCACGACCGCCAGAAGCTCGAAGAGTAGCCCCAGCACCAGCGGCATGACGACCCTGCGCGGCATGCTTACGACGGCGGCACGGGGTCCAATACGAGCTTGCCGAGAGGCAGCACCGCCTGACGCGCGGGCTCCGGCGACGGTTCCGCGCTCGGCAACGGCAAGGCTTGAGGGGGGGTGCGTGTGCTTACCCCCCCATCCCTCCTCCTCCTCCTGCCCCCCCTTGGCCTGATGCCGTTGAGTGCCCCTCCCCTGCTCCTCTTCCGATGGACACAGCGGCTATCTTCGGCGCCCCCGCCCCGCCGGCCGCCCAGGTAGGGTGGACAGGGGCGCTCCTTCTACGGTCGTCTTCTGCCCCCCCCAGGCCTTTGTTCGGTACCGTGCTTGTTTTATATGCGCGTGCATGTGCCAGGCACTCCCGCCGGGCGGGCCGCTGTTACCCAGAGAACCTCCAGCGCCCGCTGGTTGGAGCCGCCTTTAACATTGTTCACAGTTTGCCTTTCGTTGTCCTCTGTCTTGCCCCCCCCGGCTGCGTTTCCTCCTCCCGCTCTTCCTCCTGGCGCTGCTTTGCGGCATCCGCCTGAGTACCCGGAGCGCCCCGACATTGGTTAGTAGAATTTCGACCACGTTCGCACGACCGCCTGTCTACTTTTGTGCTCTTGGCGTTTGTCCGCCCGCTTTCCCGCTTCTCCTCCTCCTCGCCTCCGTCCTCCTTTGCCTCCTGCGGTTGCCGGTGCGTGCAGCTCTGTGCTGGTGCCCTTATGTGGCCAAAATTTCGTGCGCCCGGCGTGGTGGTCGTAGGGTGGTACATGGCTGCCGGTTGCCGCTGCAGCTCGCTTCAGTGTTCTTGCCTGCCTTTTCCTGCCTTCCCTCCCTCTTCTCCCCCCTGGGCGTTTTTGGCAACCACGCTTGCCACTCTGTCCCTTGCCGGTCTCGCACAATCAGGCAAGTTCATTGCCCAGCATAGGTCGTCTGCACCAATGCTGACAAGCTGCCGTGTGATGTCTTTCGCATGCGAGCTCATCAGGTGAACGGTGTTGATGAAAAACAGATCTTCTTCACCATTGACACCGCCATCATCATCATCAGCATCATCACCAGAATCGTCGTCGTCATCGTCATCATCATCATCATCATCATCAGCATCATCAGCATCATCACCAGAATCGTCGTCGTCATCGTCATCATCATCCCCGTCATCATCGCCGTCGTCGGGATTTTTTGTCGCGGCGCCTCTTGTTCGCAACGTCAGTAATGGAGGAGGACGATTAATAAATGACCAGGGGTCGTGTTCACGCGGTGGCGCCCAGGATGACGATTAGAAAAAACCGGCCGCGGGCTGGAAAACTATTGTTTTTAATCGGTCTCCTCCAGTCAGAAAGTTGTGCAGAAATAGCAGGAAACTTTGTTTTAATCGTTCTCTCCCATTTGTTTTATTAAGCGTCATCCCGCATTACGTCAGGGGTCGAACACAGGCCGCCACGGCCGCTGGCGCGGCGGGCGCCGCAGGGCTCCCCGTGCAGCGCGCGGCGTCCGCGCCTGCGGCGGCTCCGGTGGCGGCGCCGGCAGCAGCGCAGTTGGCGGCGGCCGGGGCTCAGGAAACGCCATGGGGGAAACGGTCGGGAGCCTTGAGACGGGGGTCAATGCAAACGGGGGTCAGCCACGGCACCGGATCCTGCAGGATCCTGCGAAGACCCCCTCTGGCTGACCCGGTTTAGCGAGCCGCTCGTGGCCGCGAGGCGGCCGCGCCTATTGGCTGACCCGGGTTTGCGAAGATCTGCGTTGAAGTTGTTTTTTACCTGCATTGCAGTTTCTGGTTTCCCGCTGACCCGGGTCTGGATTGACCCGAGTCAGAAGATCCCCGAAACGGGTCCTGAGGGGAACGGGTCCAAATATGTTTCGCCATTTTCAGGTGTTCGGGGCCCTCCACGGGCCCTGGGGCTGTCAGAGAACGACCGAGGATGGAGATCTCGTCCTGGGGGGAGGCCCCATGGTCCAGGACCAGTTTCCGTCAGGACCCGCTCCCACCGTGCTAAACGTAACGGGGGTCAACGCTAACGTGGGTCGGCGCTCTTCAGCCACATGTCTGCGACGGCATGCTTGCAACGGGATGGTGGCAATGAGCCCACCGAGGGCAGCACATTTCAGTGGATGCAAACATTTCGCCTCGGGATGGCGGCGGTGAGCTCACCGAAGGCAATTTTTCGATCTCCGTGGGCCCATTTTTATTTTCAGCGAGCTTCTCGTCTTCAGCGCATTTCGGGGCTCATGTGACGGGGGTCAGCGTTCATGAGGGTCAGCCGATCCCCGTCCGAAGTCCACTGGCCGACTCGGCTTTGGGAGCCACCTGCAGCCGACCCCGCACCCCCCGCCCTCCGTTGACCCGGGCTCGGGAGCTATAGTTCGTGGCTGGGCCGGCTTCGCGACAGCCCTGCCCCAACCAAACATAGAGGCCCTTGAGCTTGGGACCCGTTGTACTCCAAAAGAAATCCTCCTCCTCCTCCTCCTCCTCCTCCTCCTCCTCCTCCTCCTCCTCCCCCTCTCCTCCTCCGCCTCCTCCTCCGCCTCCTCCTCCTCCTCCTTCTCCCCCCCCTGCCCCTCCTACCCCTCCCTCCTGTCGGGTGCTGCGTCCCCGAGGCGCCGGCACCGGCGACGGGTCCAGCAGCAGCTCCAGCAGCGCTTCCACCGAAGCTTCACGTGATAGGCCAGGGGAGGAAGAGAGGAGCCGATGCCGCTGCCCTCGCCTCGTGTTCGCATTTTTGGTCCTCCCGGGAGGTCCTCGTCTCCGCGGCTGGATTCGCTTCGAAGTCCTGGTCAGACTGCACCCCGGGAGAGGTTCGGGGAGTGGCGGTATCGGAATCTCTCGGTTACCCCAGTAGGTCTCACGTGGGAAGGCCAGAAGACCGTGTTGTACCCGTACCTTCTTCAGAGCATACTCGCGGCACACAATCGGCCCGGAGCGCAGCAGATCAGAATGTCAGTGGAGGTTCACAATACTGGAGACCCTGCAGCGCAAGAAGACTTGATGTCTTCAGTTACGCAAGCGCAGGCGCTTTCGAATTCGAATGCTTCTGTGAAAATGGCACCCTGGGCATCTAAAGAAAATGGCACGTGGGGATACGTAGCTTTGGACCGAGCTCTTGAATCTCTGAAGCGAGATGCGATAAATACTGCGGACAACGACTACCTAATGTTTTGCGACGGTGATCGTGTTTACTTTCCAGAGATGCTGGAGACCGCGTTGCCAGAGATGCGGAATGGTGTTGATCTCGTTGGCCTTAGCTTCATGTGTTCGCCCAGGCACGCACCTCCGTCTGGCGTTCGATACAAAGAGTGTAATTTTACCCAAGGAACTATGGATCTGGGATCTGTGTTGTTCAGGGTGGGAGCAGTCAGGTCGTCTGGGCTGACTTTCGCACAGGTGCCAACACCTTGCGCAGACCTAGCGCACGGAAACCCTTACAAGTGCTCGGCCACTGATACCCGGCCATGGTGGGCTGCAGATTGGGGTTTTGTGTCGCGACTTCTCATCAAGGGTGCCAGCAAGAAGTGTGTGGGCAAGGGTGCTTTGATGGAGCAGCACTGAGTAGTGCCAAGGTGCTGTGAGGTGGAAGCGCCCGCTTGTTGTGCCGCCGAGCGTGGTGGCAGACACCAGCAGATAGCACCACGAGCCTTATGGTTGTGCTTGCGCAGTAAAACACGACAGTCATCATCATCACCGCCGCCATCTGGACGAAGAATAAATTGCATAAGCGTAATGTTTTAGAGCTCCGCGCGGATTTCTCGGATCTGCGTTTGCCCCCGTGTTGGCGCTTCCAACGCCGATCCAGGACATCCGCGCGGAGCTGCGAAAGCTTACATCAACGCCTAATGTTCTTCCTCTGGATAAACGACGACAGTCCTCACCATCAGCATCAACATCAGCAGCACCAGCACCAGCACCAGCATGATCAGTACCAGCAGCACCAGCACCAG